TCGTAGTCGTAGTAGTAGTAGTAGTAGTAGTAGTCGTAGTCGTATTCGTAGTTGTAGTCGTAGTTGTAGTCGTAGTAGTAGTCGTAGTCGTAGTCGTAGTCGTAGTCGTAGTCGTAGTCCGTAGCGTAGCAGTAGTCAGTAGTAGTAGTAGTAGTAGTAGTAGTAGTAGTAGTAGTAGTAGTAGTAGTAGTAGTAGTAGTAGTAGTAGTAGTAGTAGTAGTAGTCGTAGTAGTAGGGGGAGGTGGAGTAGGGGAAGGAGGAGGCAGAAAGGGAGGATGGACCGAGGAGGAGGTGAAAAGGGCAGACGAAGATGAGGAGGAGGAGGAGGACGACGACGACAACGAGGAGGAGGGAGAGGAGGCATAGGGGAAGGAGGGAGGGAGCGCCGGCCAGAGGGAGCGGGGATGATGTGAAATCTGTGGAAAGGATGGAGGGAGGAGGGAAATCGGATGGAGGAGGATGAGGAAGAGGGGTAGAACAAGGTGGTGGAGGAGGAGAGGAAGGGGAAGCTGGAGTGGCAGGATGAGGAGGCCAACGGCGACGACGACGACGACGAGGACGACGATCGGGAAACAGGATATCCTCCCGCGTGGCTACAAAGAGGTGCTCTTCCCCAATCCGGGTCCCGATCACTTCGGGGCGAAGGGCGGCGACGGCGGCGAGGAGTGCGACGGGCGCTACGGGCTGCACATCTGGCCCAGGGGCGAGCACATGCTGATGGCGCTTGCCAACCGGGACGGCTCCTTTACTGGCACCATCTATCTGGACGGCTCCTCCTCCTCCTCCTCCTCCTCCATCCCGGGTATAGCCAAGACCCCAGGTAAGGGGACCCGGTTAGTGGTAGGGCCCCGGAGCCCTTTAATTGGCCAGAGTCACTAAACCACGTTTGCCGTAGCTGGTGTTTTTTCGGGTGACGGCAGTTCCGGTTCGTGGAAGGGGGGGGCGTCCCCCAGTACACATCACAACCAGGTCCCACTAAACCCAGTCCTGCCAACGCCCGACCTTCCTCTCCTTCCCCTATCCCAAGGCGGGGATTTATTCTCAACGCTCCGCGTACCCTCACCAGCCCATTTGGAAACCCTGCGCACGACAGCCGCCGGGGCAGGGGAAGAGACTATCAGAGTGGAGCATAGCGGGCAGCCAGGGTGAACAGAGAGATCTCTGGGAGCAAGTGGGCAGCCCTGTAGGGCCTCTTCGAGCCATCCCTGGGGCCCGCGTGGGGGCGAGGGAAGGAGAACGAGGAGGAGAGGAGGAAGAGGAGGATGAGGAGGAGGACGGAAACGACGACGACGACGACCACGACGACCACGACGACGCGGAAGGGGAGGAACAGGAAAAGGAATATGATGAGGGTAAGGACGAGGACGAGGACGAGAAGGAGGAGGAGGACAACGAGGACGTGGACAGAGCCCTCAAAGTCGCCTCTTGCAGCCCTCTTGGGACTCTTTTGGACGATCTTGGGGTCCTGTTGGGGTTCTTGTGGATGGTCTTGGGGCTCTCTTGGGGCCCTTTTTGAGCTCTCTTGGGGGTCCCTCGGCAGCCCTGGAGGGCCTCTTGGGGCCATCTTGGAGGCCATCGATCAAACGGGGCGGGGTCGTAACATTTGCCTCCCTCCCCCCCCCCCCGGGCCAACAAAATCGCCTCTTAGGGATGCTCTTGGGACGCTCTTGGGCCGATCTTGGGCGCTCGTGGGGCTGTTTTGGCGGCCTCTTGGGCCCCTCTTGGGCCTCCCCTTCTCCTCCTCCTCCTCCTCTTCCTCCTCCTCCTCCTCCTCCTCCTCCTCCTTGGGGGCCCCTCTTGGGCCCCTCTTGGGGCCATCTTGAGGCTTCAAACGCGCATCGGACGCGAAGAGGCGAGAAGGCAAACATCATCGAAGTCGATTCGGTTTTGAAAGGTTTTGGCCCCCTGGGGGGGGGGTCCTGATGGGGGCTCCAGGAGCACTTGGAGCCGTCGCGTGGCCCTCGTCGGGCCTCTTGGAGGTATGCCGGAAGCTATCTTGATCCATCTTCGGATATCTTGAGCCGCCTTGGAGGCCATTTTGAGCATCGGAGGCCTTCTTGGAACCATCTTGGGCAATCTTGGGCGCCCTAACCGATCACCCCCCCCTCTCAAAAAAAACAAAAGGAGGGGAGGTGGAGGGTACCCCACCCCGAAGAGAAGAGGGTGTTTGAAAGAGGAAAGAGAAAGAGAGAGAGAGAGAGAAAGAGATCGGTAGACCGCCTTAGCCCGAAGAGCTGGTGGGATTCATAACCACCGCCTGGGGGATGGAGCTTCGGGAGCCCCAGCTGGCGGTGGATATGGATTTTCTCTGGCCTTGGGGGGCCTCTCGTCCTCCTCCTCCTCCTCCTCCTCCTCCTCTTCCTCCTCCTCCTCCTCCTCCTCCTCTCCTTCCTCCTCCTCCTCCTCCTCCTCCTCATCCTCCTCCTGGGGGGGCAGCTATGTATCCATATCCATTATCTGCCGAAACCTCCGAAACTCGATGTCCCCAGGCGGCGGTCACGAGTAAGTCTCCGCCTCGCACCATGCTGCATCGCTCGCTCCACCCCGAGGATAACGAGGGCGAAGGGGAGTCCTTCGCTGCCATGGACGACACGGAGGAGGGCAGGAAACGGTGCGAGTCGTTTTGCAGCAGGCAGCAGGGAGGAGGCGGAGGCGGAGCGGCGGGAGGTGGAAGGGAGGGGGGAGGAGGAGGAGGAGGAAAAGGAGGAGGAGGAGGAGGAGGAAAAGGCATTTGGCTGTAGTCCATGGGGTCTTGGGGGCAGCCCACACGGCCGAAACCCCGCGCGGCCGCAGCTCTGCCCGCACCGTTCCCTGGGCCAGGGGGAGGCCGCTGGCATCGCCAACGCGCCGCTATCGAGGCCTGGGGAAGCAGGCCGGCACAAGCGTGCCCGACGAGTACCAGCTGCGGTTCGATTATTGTAGTGGCCTCCGGCCAGTGCCGCCCATCCGGGGCGCTTCCGTTGCTGCCGGAAGCGCACTATGGCGGTCATGACCGGCGACGACGGCGAGCGGTGAGGATGATGGTTCGGAACAGAATCGGATGGGCCCGCAGTGTCCTGGAGAATTTCGTTTCGGATTTCGAAGGGAATTTCGTGCGGATTGTTTTGGTCAGGAATGAAGACTAACAACATCTATGCGACATGCACTTCATTTTTCGTTCGCCGTTTCGGGGTCTTGCATTGGCAGAGATCCACGCAACAATTCGCAGCAACGCGTCTGCAAGGTCGGTGTTGTGACGAGGGGGAGCAGCCCGTCAGTTGCTCCAGTGGGACCAGAGCGCACAGCAGTCGCAACGTGCAGATCGAGAAAACGGTGACCAGGCGCACAGCATGGCATGTGAATGGCAGAGCAAGGTTGGGGTTGCGACTGTGGCATGTCTGTTCTTGGGTGGCCGTGGTATTGAGACAGTAGCAAAGCAACAACAATGCCAAGAGGAGGCGTGGAGCAAGCGCGGCAAGACGGCCGCTTGCCAAACCAAGGGAAGCCGCTCCAGTCAAAGGCGCGACCGCCGAGCCACGGGAAAAGAAGACAGCCCTGCCGAACCAGACAAGAACCTCGCAGCGACAAGGGGCATTGCCAGTTGAAAAAAGCAGGCATGGAAACTCAAAGAAGAAGTTGTGCCAGCATTGCGACAATATGCGGAAGTGCGCCTGGCATGGGAGGGAGTGGGCCCCGCCAGCAGACCATCGACAAACGCGTGCTTACAAGGGGCGTGCCAACCAGAGATCCACGGCACTGGCGACAATGGCGGTGGCAGCGTCTCGGACAGACAAGCCGGGCGAGGGGATTCAAGATGGATTGGGCACGTTGCAGCACGGACTGGCGCAACTAAAACACCTCTCCGAGCAGAAGGCCGAAACCTTGGCGAGGCTAACAGACATACCCGAGAAGTTGAAACAGACACAGCGACACCGCAGGCAATGGCTTTGGTTTAAGAGCAAGCACGGGAATTGAAGTACCAGGCGGACGACGCACGGACGCACATCGGATACATAGAGGGGGGGGATCGCAGAGGAGACCAGCGACACATTACCGGGAGTATAACGTGGATCAGTTCTCCTGGAAGGGATCGCAGAGGGAACCGCCCCATCATCACCGACAGCGCCAAGCTCGGAGTTACAGGCTCCAGCAGCAGAACCAGCAGATGCAGTTCCAGATGCAGGGGATGGCCGCGTGCATGTACCCAAACCAGATGACGCAGGCCTCCCCGCCGCCGGCTGGGCCATGCCCAACGCAAGGGACAGTTGCAGGGTTGACTCTGCCGCCAGTGATGGACGCACAGCGGGGGGCTTCATTGGCGGCGACGCACGTAGCGATCGGGGCCCAGCCAGCAAGCGCATCAGCTCCCCAGGCATCCAGCGAATGGACGGCAAAGACGGAGGACGATGGTCACCCATCACCGACGAAGATGTGGGCAATTTGAGACAAGAGCAACTGACGCAGTGGATCGACCCAGCGATGACGCCAACACAGCGAGGCGCATTACAAGAGCATGCGCCTCCCAGGCCCTTCGCAGGACCAGATGGAACCAGTCTATCAAGCGACGCGGGGGGGGGGGGGCGGCAAGGGCGGCGGGGCAAGGGCGGGGTCCAACAACAAGCTCGACAACAATCCAGCGACCCACAAGTATCAGATGGCAGAGGAGGGGGCGACTATTCAGGATACCAGAGCAAATGCAGGCATGATAACGTATGCCAAGGCCAAGTTGCCCGTTGCATATCGAGCCTGCGTGAACCACCATGGCATCCAGCAGCAGCTAGACCGAGCAGGATGTCTCGCAGCACAGTTGTTGGCATATGAGTGGCAAACACATGGAGGAAGTGGCGAAAGAAGAGGTAGCGCCGCGGCGCGTGCCATTGGTGGCCCATCCTCCAGCAGAATCACGCGCGCAACGCCAAGTGAACGATCAACCAGAGGGCTTCCATGGAAGGGCCAAGGAGATGTCTCCAGGGGGGGAACTTTCAAAGCAGGGTAGACGGGCGCGTGTTGAGAACGTCCGTTGCGCGCAGGTAAATGACCTACCTCAGTGATCGCGCCCTCCTTCCAGCGCGGCGAAGCACGCACGACGTCCGATTGGTAACGCAAGAATAGGCAGCATACTTGGGCGCGCAGAGAACGGCGAGACCCGCGGGCGCAAGGTCGGAACGAATTGCCGTCGAGGGGATTCCAATCAAGGTAAGGAGGGCCAGATTTTTCGAAACACTCATAAACTGCAGATGCGTCCACAATGCAGATGGCCATGCGCAGCGAGAGTGAGCGGCAGCCAGCGAGACGCGAAATTAAGAGGCCACCGCGTGATCAACGACAAGCACGGGAAGATGGGCGCCAGCTGAAGCGACAGGCGGGAGATATACGATAGGCAGAAGGGTCCACAACATGCGCTGGCTGGTTCGATGCAGTGATGTGAAGAAGTTGCGTCGTCGGAGATCCTGTTCCACCCAGTCATCAACCCCGCGACGAAGCCCGAGTGCACCTCGAGGAACCGAGCGCGCCAGATATGCACGCGAGCTTGGCGCGAGGCGGCGGCGGCCAGGAAGGGGGTCGATTCGACGGCCCATTCGACGACGCGAGCGCAATCTCGAATTGCGGTAGGAGGCAAGTGGCACTGCAAGGATTGAGCTGGCGACAGAACACGACTGATAGGGCAGGGTGGCAGGGGGGCGGGCGTCGCTGGAGGGGCCGAGCCAGACCCTAATCCAGACTACACGCATGCAATCACGCCGCCTCCAATCTCCCCGAGGGAGGGCGCCGTGACATCGGGGGCGACGGCGAGGACAGATGAGCCGCGGAGCGAAACCTCCGCCAAGCCCTTGGACCAGCCCACGACGCCAGCAATGGTGGAGGTGCAAGGGGGCAGTTGGGAAGCCGCCGCGCGGGCGTGGGCTTCCGCGGCCGCGCGCGCGTCGATTTCGCCGGCGAGATCGAGGACGGCGACCAGGCGAATTTCGGCGGCACTGATAGGGTTGAAATCGGCGACCAGACGGCCGCGGGGCATCGCCCCTGCAGAACCACCTGGGCACTGAAGCCAACGACCCCAGCGATGGGGGAGGTGGGTGGGGGCATTCTGGAGGCCGCGGCGCGGGCGAGACACGCGCTTCTGCGGCCGCGCGCGCGTCGGTCTCGAATGTGGAGGCGCAGCTGGCGGCCGGGCGCGTGGCGAGCACCTGGGGGCGCGTCGCGCGGGGGTCCAGCGACGTGCGATTGTTCTCATGAGTACCAGGAGAGCCAAATTCTAGGCCCACAGATGAATGCGCGGCATGTCAGGCCTATCCAAAAGGCCACGGTGCACCCGGGACCTGTTGTTAATCCCCTGAGGGGTCGGCCCCGCTCTGCGGCGCGCCAGCGGACCCCGGGGGGGCCTGCGCAGGGGCGCCGGGCCCCCCGCGGCGCAGCCAGACGGCCGCGTTGACACCAGTGACCACGGGAACAGATGCGTCCTAGTTTGCGCAGCAACCCGCGGCAAGAGCAGGGGCTCGCAGCCGCGACAAGCAGCGCGCGCGAGGGCGCAGACAGCCAGCGAGGCCAATTGCAGGACAGGGACCAGGGTAAGCAAAGTCATGCCCTAGGGCCCCCGCCATCCGCGCGAGAGCCGCGCCCCCCCCGGGGGGGGGGCTTCAGACGCCACGAAATAGTCGCGCAGGCAAGGGCGAGAGGCGGAGAGGAGATGGAAGATGACCCCGCGATGCATGCGTCTTTCGATTTTCAGGAAAGCCCAGCACAAGCCAGGGAGCGCTAGCGCGACGCTGTTGCCCTGGAAAAGGGGGCGACGACCCGGGGGTCACGGAAACGCGGGGCCATTCGCAACGGTGGCCATGCGTCTTGCGTCAGATGCCGATGAGGCAGGGCCAGGATGCGAACGCGGGGCTTCGCTTAAAGGATCCCATTGGCAAGACAGCCAATGGTGCGCGCATGTGCTTTCTTTCAAAGCTCAACGTCGCGGCGCTTGCCCCGAATCCGCGCATCCCCATTGTCCGCTAGACTTTCCCGCGTAACTCGCGTCTGCTGCAGCGCGCGCGCCGCGCGCTGGACTGAGGGCCGAGTGCGCGCGAGCGTTCTGGGAGGAGGCCACTGAACAAGTGGTTCAGAAGTACGTAGATTTAGAGGGCGGGAGCACGCGCGAAGGTTGGCGTCGAAGCGGGGTTCGTCGGCGGCGGCGCTTGAGCGGGGGGGGCCCGCAGGACCGGGACGTGCTGGGCTATTGATTCCAGGAGTTTGCAGCGAGCGCAGCCTTGCATGCTATGGGCGCGCCAGTGCCCCGCGCCCTTGCGCGCGCCGTCGCGCGCAACGACGGCGAACGCAAACGTCGCTTGGACTGCGCGATGACGTCGCGTCAAGGAATGCATGCCGCCAGAGAGGTCAGCTAGCATATGGCATGACTTCGACAACGCCACGGCGCAGCCAGGCCGCCGCCCCGCGGAGGCGAGCTCTGCGCTGGAGGCCATTGTCCGACCGCCGAGGGGCAGGGTTCTAGGATTCAATGCCGGCGCGCTCCGAAATCCTGGAGCTCGCGCGAAGTTCCACGGCGCCATTAGGCAGATCCCGAGCGTGTTATGGGAGACTGATGCGAATGACCACCCCGAGGACATCCAAGAGCGGGCTTCGAACCAGGAAAAGAAGCTCAAGCCGTCATGCGTGTCCGAAGGGTCCAAGATTTGGATTGCCGCTCGCAGGGGGGCCAAACGCGTTCTCGGTAAAAACGAGACCCGGTAGGAAGTGTTTGCGGAGCGCAGAATTTTGCGCCGATTCGTTGACGGGCTGAAGACCGGCGACCGAGCATTGATGAGATGGTGCCCGAGGACGAGCCAGGTCTGCCCTGGGCAGGTAAGGAGATGGATCGCAACGAATTCTGGGGGCAGGAATGGGAAAGGCGTCGCCGCCCCGGCAGAAGCAATGACAATTATTACGTGGACAACTTTCCCATTTTTTGCCCGGGCCCAATTCCGCGCGGGCTCGAGGGGAGGCATCGGCGCCCAGGAGATCGAGGAATACCATGCAATCGAGGCCCAGACCATGGGCTGGATGCGTTTTTGGGCGGGCCGATTTTTCTGGGCATGGAGCGCGGAAGACCCGCGGGAAATAAGAGCAGATGCACTTGCCGTGGACATGCAGCCATTTATGTTGATGCCCGGGAGTTTCTCTCGCGTTCTCGCCAGCTAGACAGGGGTCTTCTTCGTGTCAAGGAGGTAGAGGGGTAAGAGCCCATCGACGAATGAAACCACCTAGACGGTGCGCAAAGGTTTGCTGGCTCGCCAGGAATAGCATGCGCAATGCATTGCATGAAATACGAGGGGTGGAGGGGGCGACTGGCAGAGGCCCCAGAGATTGCGCGGGCGCATGTCGCCGCGGCAGGGGCAAAGACTTCGGGCGAAAGGGGAAGAGGGGAAGGGTGCTGATATAAACCCATCAGGGAATACAGAGGATGTTTCGAGTAAGAGCAGCGAGTAAAGTGCCGATACTATGAATGCTGAATCCCCAGGGTATGTCATGTTGTTTCGTCGGACATAGATGAGACAGACTAGTGGGCCCGACAATTGCTCGATGACTTTTTGCAGGTCAAGTCGGCTGATCTTGCAGCTGCGTGCGATGACGGTTGCGGCGCATGGGACAGGCAGGCTGCTGCCGCCCAGAGTAATGTGCCTTTGTGCAGCGCCATCTCCAAGGGGCACGCAGTCGATCACGCAGTCGATCTCCTGTTTGCATCGCTCGCGGCCGCCGAGGTTCGGGATCGGGGGGGGCAGGAATATGCACTTGTGCAGCGCCATCCCCAAGAGGCACCATAGATTTCTCAGCCAGTACGCAGTCGACCTGTTTACATCGCTCGCGGCCGCCGAGGTTCGGGGAGTGGGGCGGGGGCCATGCCGGTCCATGCATGTCGCGGCGATTCTCATCAGGCAATCCTGGAACGCGACAACAGTGGGCAAAACAGCCAGCGGGAGCGAGCTTCATTGATCTTGTTGCTGCTTTCTGCTCCATCGTAAAACAGGCAGCATTCCAACTCCCACGAAAGATGGAGTCACTGGAACATGCGCTTGGCTCGCGACGATGGAAATCTCCATTCTTGAGACAGGGAGTCCAGGGGCAGCTTGGATCCCCCCCCAGGCCCTGCTTACCGCGCGCGCCGAGACGTTGCATATGCTCGCATTGCTGCAGGTACCAGTCAGGATCACAGTGGAAAACGAAGCTCACCAGCAAGTGGGCGTTGCCAACCACAGTTTTCCATCCTGGATCGATCGGAGCGGGGGGGGGGCGTGTTTTTTTTTTTCGTTTGAACTTTAATTCTCGCGTTCTCCGAAGTATCGATCGACCTTCAGGAAGCGATGTCTCGAGAACAGCTTGTGTGGATCTCCCCTCAGAAGACCCGCGCCTTCTCACAGGAAGAAGATTGGGTTCGCAGTGCAATTGGAGTTGCGTTCGTTGACGATATATCGACCCTTTTGACCAGCACGTCGGACAGCTTGCAAGCGAGTGCCATTAAACACGAATGGCGCGTTTGCCAAGCTGGTGGTGAAGAGAGAACATCAGATCAACATGGGCAACGCGAAAATGCTTATGCGCGTTCGCGATGAAGGGCAAACCTGAAGTTTGCGGCGGCACCGCCAGTCATCCCACTCCACAAAAATACCGATGCACGTGGAGTCTTCAGGAACTTTACGGATGGTTTGCTGGCGTGCGACGCGGGGGGGGGTTAATGCTGCCCTGGAGAATGGGGCGAAGCAGCGCCCCATTGCCACGCGCGGATGCGCCTTGAACCTTGGCCGCAGGAGCGGCGCCCCTGAGCTTGTGGCCAGCGGGGGGAATGTAGCGACGCTAGGTAGAGTGCCGGTGCAGATTGTCCTCGCAATCCCGCGCCTCCGCTTCCCCCCCCCGCGCCCCCACGAAGGCGGCGCCAATCGTCGCGACGCTCTTGGACAGTGCGTGGGGGGTCCCAGGAATGCGGCTCCAGCTGGTGCCCCGGGATGATTTGCGGCCTGGGACTTGGGCGCCACCGGCGAACCCCGTCAGGGATAATGGCCCCCTTTTCTGGATGGTGATGACCGCGGGAGAACCGTGCCTATTTCGAAGGCCAGTTACTTCAGCTCGCAGAAGTGTCTGGACGCAGCGGGGCGAGGAATTGGCGAGAGACGTTCGGAGAGATAGGCCCAGGGAGCTGCGAGTTGACAAAGAGGAACAGGATCCGCTTGCCCGTTCTACTGAGAACGGGAAGGAGAGGGAGTCTAGGACGCTGGAAACACACCTCGCGCGAATCGCGGCTGGGCAGGAACCAAATGCATCCCCTCATGCGAGAAGCGAGGGCCCAGACATCCAGCGGCACCAATTTGTTTTGGTGCGTGGGCCCCGGATGTTGGGGGAAACCGTCGATAGAACGGGTTTAAGAGCGTTGGAACGAGGGCCTGACACGCCGCCAGTTGCGCAGCCTCTCTGGCGCAAATGTTGTCATGGCAGCGGAGCTGGTCTTGGCCAGCTCCCGCAAGGCGACCCTCCCGCGGCAGTGGGCGCTGGCCATTGCCCGAGCCTCTGCAGACGGCCAGCTGGGCGACGGATCCACGGCGAGAGGCGCGACGCAGCCAGCGGGGCCGAGGCCGCGCAGACGAAGGGCTTCGTGACCCTCGCAAGCGAGCGAATCGAGGCCTACGGGGCCATAGGATTGCACGATCGATAGGATCGACGATATGACGGAGCCTGGCGTTGAGCGGCAGGGCGCAGGACGGAGGCCGCCGACGTTCGGCGGCCAGGGGGAGCACTGGACGGAGTGGTCATTCGCGACGGGGGCGCACCTGGGCGGCCAGACAGCACAGGAGCAGAAACTACTGGAGGCGGCCGAGCAGCGGGGCGATCCCGACATCAGCACGGCGGAGACGCTGCACAGGCTTGGCGCAGAGGGAGTCGCGGCCACAAGGAAGACGTTTTTCTCGCTGGTCATGACTGCGAGGGGCAGCGCGCAGATGCAGATCAGAAGCGTGGAGGACCAGAACGGCGCGCTGGCGCGGCGAGCATTCGTCAAGAGGTACGAACCCGCGACGGCCATGCGCGCGCAGAGCATCATGGCTGCGATTCTCAACGTGAAGCCGTTCCCTTCAGACTTGTCGGGGTTCGAGCAGCACCGCGCTGACTGGGGGCGGGACATCAGGCGGTGCGAGACGGCGTCTGGTGAGGTGTTCAATGCGGGCATTAAGAAGAGCACCTACTTGCAGAAGGCGCCGAAGAACATCCGCGCGATTTTTCAGATTCAGAGCGAGAGGAGCTACAACGAGCTGGTCAGCAGCGCGATCCAGTACCTACAGGCGGCGACGGTGTACAAGGACGGCCACCAGCAGACATGGGCGGCACCACAGAGCCCAGGGGGAGACGGTGGCAAAGGAGGTCGCCCAACAGGAGCCATGGAGGTGGACGCGCTGACGAGGCAGCATCCCAAAGGCAGGGGCACGGGCGACAAAAGCAGGGGCAATGATGCCAAGGGCAAAGGTATGGACCAGAAGGGCAAGGGCGCGGATCCCATGGCGAGGGCAGCCGCAGCACGTCAACCAGCATGGAACACGACAAGAGTACCTGGGGCGAGGCTGCGCTACAAATGCGGCCAGAGGGGACACTGCGCGAGGGACTGTTGGCACCGACCGGAGAACCCAACTTACGACACGGGCAAGCACACAGGCAAGAAGGGCCAGGAGGGTGGAGTCGGCGAGATCACACTAGACGGCTGGAGTAAAATCAGCACATCGCCACCGAGCAGCCCAGCACCGTCGACGGCAGGCCCATCAGTTAGTCAAGCTGGGGTTCGAGCGGCCACCACGATAGACGAGTACGCGACGGAGTGGGAAGAGGGCCTCATCTTCGCAGTGACGAAGCACTAGACGCCAAGAGAGGAAGGTCTACAGCATGATGGAGGACGGACTGCGGCGCGCGTTCTGGATGCTGACAGACAATTGTGCGGACGAGCGCGTGCGCGGGCAGGGGGGCTTCCCATGCGCGGAGATCAAGCCTGGACGGAATCCCAACCCGACGGTCGCCGACGGTGCCCCGCTGAAGCACAACGGCTCGAAGACGGTGGCGCTCTACATAGCAGGCGACAGGCGCATCATCATGGAGTTCCAGGCCAGACGCGAAGCAGCCCATCATGCGCGTGGGCAAGCTTTGCAGCAGGATGGATAACAGAGCCGCATGGTATGACGGCAAGGGTGAATCTCTGAAGCACGAGACGGCAGGACTGGTCAATTTCGCGAAGATAAACAACCACTACGCTCTGGAGTGCTGGACCAAGGTGCGCGACGACATGGAGGAAGCACGCAGGGAGATGACGCCAGCTGCAGCGGCACGACCAGGAGAAGAGGACGTATACGGTGCCGCAGTTCAGCGAGCACAAGTAGGAGGACCACGACAACCACAACCAGGAGAGCAGCCGCAACACGTTGCATCACGAGGAGCGGCGGGTGCACTGGCGGACGCGCCAGCAGAAGGCCCAGTGGCGGTTCCTGATGATCGCGAGACCAGGCGACGGCCAGCGGTCTACCTGTACCTAGAGAGCCAAGCGCGGAGGAGATCGAGAGGCACGAGCTGACGCACTACCCAGCGGAGCCGTGGTGCGAGATCTGCGCCCAGGCGAAGGCAAACGACTTAGCCCACAAGCAGAAGGACGGGCGCGACGAGCTGATCCCCTGGCTGAGTTTCGACTGCGGCCAGGCGGGCATCGAAGGGGACCCCGTCAACTTGGAGTTCGTGGTGGGCAGCGACGCTTCGACATGGGGCATCTGAAGCACAGTTATCATCCAGACGAGTCGCAACGACGCCTACACAGTGGCATCAGCAGCTTCATGGATAGCTGAACTCGGATGTGCGCGAGTGGAGCTGCAGGCAGGAGGAGAAGCAGAGTTCTCGTTCATCACGGCGGTCAGGGCCAGGGCGATCAAGGAAGGCATCTGCGAGACGATCTTCACGCGGCAGTCGGAAAGGCACAACAGCCGAGCGAACGGCAGGGCCGAGAGAACCAAGCAGACAGTGAGGAAGCAGGCGAGGACGCTGATGCTGCAGGTCATCAAGAGGCTGAACCACGACCTCTAGCCCGACCCCCCGTTCCTCACGTGGCTGCAGAGGCACGCAGCGTGGCTCTACGAAAGGTGCATGGTCAGGGGGGGCACCGACCTCACGCCGTACGAGAAGACCCACATGCCAAAGTACCAGAACTGATCGTGGCAGTCGGCGAGGCGGTGATCTGCAGGAGGCCAGAAGCGCAGGTCAACAAGCTGGAGCTTTCGTGGCTGGAGGGCGTCTGACAAGGACGCGACGCGAGGGCGGGGGAGCACCTGGTCGGAACGCCGACGGGGGCGCGCAGGTCACGGGCGGCGAAGAGGAAGGTGGAGAGCCGACGCTGGGACATGGAGCTGTTCGACAAGATGAAGTGGACGCCCTGGGAGCCGACGCCAACGAGAGGGAGACCACCGACGCAGAGGTCGCTGCAGGGGCCGATCCTGCTGGGGCCGTTGCCGAAGCACCTGGACTCAAGGGCAGCAACGGCAGCAGCAGCACCAGCAGCAGCCGCAGCCGCAGGAGTTGGAGGAGGACCGCAGCCGGCGCCCCAACAGCCGGCAGCAGCTGCAGCCGCAGCAGCGGCAGCACCCTACGACGACGTGGACATGGACAAGAGGCGGCTTGAGGCGAAGAGGCCCAGAGACGAGGAGGCAGGTCCGTCGGCCCCGAGGACGACGCCGCCACAGCCAGCGGGCATTCCGCTGGCGGAGAGGAGCCCCAAGCGAGAACGTGACGGCGGCGAAGGAGGCGAAGGCAAGAAGTCCAGGATCGACGCCATCCAGATGGCCAACGCGGCCAGGGAGATGCGCGAAGAGCCGAAGGTGGAGGATGAGGAGACGCATGCGCTGGAGGGCGACTTCACAGAGGCAAGGAAAGAGCACTTGGATAAGATCGCAGGTGATGGTAAGCAGATGGTGAAGGTGATCCCGATCGACGAGACGACGTCCAGGGTGATCCCGATCAAGGTGGCCCGATCAAGGTGATCCCGATCAAGGAGATCGCCAGGTGATCCCGATCAAGGTGATCCCGATCAACGAATTCATGACAGGGAAGTGGTTCGGCACCTACCATGCGGACGGCAGCAAGAAGAGTCGGTGGACCACGAGGGTTTTCGAGCAGCAGATGCACGGGCATGAATTTCGTGGCCACGACCCCCTCGCTTCCACACCTGAAGGTGATGCTGGTCAACGCGGAGATACACGACCACGCGGTGGCGCTCGGCGTCTGCAGCGGGGCTATCTGCCAGGCGCCGCTCACCGAGGACCGCGCCTTCCCAGAGCCACCGCCAGAAGCTGGAGTACCTGGAGGACATGTATGGGAATCTCTGCGTGCAATTCCTGGGCTCGAAGGGGCGCCGCAGGCTTGGGGGGGCCACGGCGGGACAACCGTCGAGGAGCTGGAGATGGTCAGAGGTCGCTACGACGGGTGTCCCTTCATGAAGCTGAGCAACAAGATGAAGGCATATAGACATGCCGACGACTTTCTGATCACGGGGCCACGCGACGAGGTCGACAATCTGCCGGAGGTGATGCGCAAGAGGCTGAAGCTGTCAGACGTGGCGAAGCTCACCAAGAAAGGAAGCCAGGCGTCGTTCGTGGGCACGCAGGTGGAGAAGGTCGAGGGCGGCTACGCGATCAGTGGCAAGACGAGCTTGATCGATGATATGTTGAAGGAGCTGGGCCTTGATAGCGCTAAACCAGCAGCGTTGCCCGAGACCAAGAACGAGGTGAACATGGGGGGCGACGCGGTGAAGCTGGACGCGGCTGGACATAGCCGCCACAGGGTACGCGTGGGGAAGTTGCTGCATTTGGCGAGCAACCGTCCCGACATTCAACGCGCAGTTGGAGTCCTAAGTCTGCGCATGTCGGGGCCGACGGAAAAGGACTTGAGGAGGTTGAAGAAGATGTCTCGGTACCTGGCGGGCACCCGCGACTACAGGACGCAGCTGGTTCCTAACGAGGGGGGCGTTGCAGTTCAGTGCTGGGTCGACGCCGACTGGGCCGACGACTAGGCTGACAGGATCTCGACAAGCGGAGGTGTACTGCAGTACCACGGGCGCGCCATCCTGTCGTGGTCGAGGCGCCAGGGCTGTGTGGCACTGAGCTCGGCGGAGAACAAGTTGTACGCTTTGGACTCAGGAGCAGCGGAAGTGCTTGGACTGGCGTCGCTGCTCGATGAATGACAAGAGAAGACAGTGCCGTACGTGATGAGCGATAGCAGCAGCGCCTTGCATATCGTGAATAAGAGGGGACCTAGAAAGATGACGCACGTAGAGATCCGTTTCCTGGCGCTGCAGCAGTGGAGAGAACAGGGCAGGCCCAACACCGGAAAGGTGTACTCGCGAGAATCCGAGCGACATGATGACCAAGCCAACGCCGAGGGAGAAGCTGAAGAAATGCACGAAGATGGTCGGATTGGTGCGCTCGTAGAGGGACAGAGGCTTGAGCCCAGGCGGGTGGGAAAAGCAGTGGATGAGAAGGTCGCCCGCCTGTGTAGAAGGATGTCGTTTTGAGGGTAAAAGGGGCCTCAGTGGCCTAGTGAACCCGATTCCGTTTTAGAAGCTGTTTCGGATAGTGTTTCCCTCCGAGGTCTGGTTCCAGAGATGGGCCTGGCGACCTCGAGGGCGCGTTGAAGGAAGCCGTAGATAGAACGGGTTTATACACCGTCAAACGAGAGCCTGATACGCTACCCGTTCCGCAGCCTCTTTGGTACAAATGTTGACACCCGAGGTCCAGACCACTTCCCCGGGACGGGTGTTTCGTCCTGGGTCGTTTTTATGACGCTCCCGAGGCCTGGCGAGGGCCCCTAGAGGCCGAAAACGGCCAAAAACCGCTTGTTCCAAATTTTTGGAGCGCCGGATCTCAGGGAGTGCATCCCCTCATGCGAAAAAGTGAGGATGCCACAGTTCCTGCCGCGCGCGCGGCCCCACCGCCGAAGGTGACACAAAAACTGCCGGGGTGCGCGTCGGGGGCGCTCGGCCACCAGCCCCGCCTGCTCTCGCCGCAGTGACCGCCTCCCCAGTGGATGTTCACGATCGAAAGGATGGATCAAAAGGGCCGACCGTGCTAAAGGGCTTGCATACCCATCGCTTGTTGAAGCCCAAACCTCCTCGCGTCTTGCAAAAATCACGACGGGAGTTTTTTTATGGCTTAAGCCAAAAAACTATGTTTGTCGGCTTCCGGGGGCCCTTCCCGCGCCTCGGGAGCGTCAAACAACGGCTCAGGATGAGAAACCGGTCCTGGGGAAGGGGTCCAGACTTCTGAGGGTTGACGTTCTGACAAAAATCACGACGTCGGAGGTCTGGGAAGTAGGTATTTTTGGAGCCCCAGTTTCTAGTCTACTTTAAGCGCCTCCCTACTTCCATGATCGAGCGACTTTACCTTTTCCGTTCTCTTCAAGGGAGCGGGCGGACACCCAATATTTTTTCAATGCCGTCCTACTTCATGTTTCTACCTACTTCTTCCGACCGATGGGTAATTGTTTGCCCATGCTTCTGCGTTGCATGTGCAAGGCTCCCCATTGCCACCCCTGGTGAAAATCCCGAAGGCAGGGCTTTTTTTGATCCTAGCCGCACAAGTTGGAGGGCATCGTGATAACGCGGAACCGACGCCATTGCTTGAGTTGGCGTTGCCAGCGCAGCTCCCTCATGCGTGCGTGATTTCTGTTGTCAGTAAGGAACGAGAAGCGGATTTGCATGTGCGGTCTTCTGTCAAACATGCATTGTGGCGCAATGCAAGAGCGCTGCCAATCGCGCGGAGCTGCCAGAAATGATCGAAGGCCTAACTACTCGAGGCGAGGAACGCACAATAGGTACTTAACCTCCCGCAACAGCAACAAGGTAATGTAGCAGGTCTGTTCTGCGCATGCGTGTACCAGCTTCGGAATACGGGCTGAACCAGCAGGTTTTGACCAGACCAGGGCGAGGCGAACTCGTTCGAGTAATGACCCACGGGGCATCCGACATTTAGGTGATGACAGAGAGGTGGACTGGATTCAGGACGAGAGTGCGTGTCAGGAGAAGGAGGAGGAGGAGGAGGAGGAGCAGGAAGAAAAGGAGGAGGAGGGGGAGGAGGAGGAGCAGGAAGAGCAGGAGGAGCACGAGGAGGAGCAGCAGCAGGAAGAGGAGGAGGAGGAGGAGAAGAGGAGAAGAGGGAGGAGGAGGAAGAGGAGGAAGATGAGGAGGAGGAGGAGGAGGAGGAGGAGGAGGACGTGCGTCGACTTGTGGGCCGCTGGCCTTTTCCCCGCGTGCGAGCGTCGTCGTCTGTTTGGTGCGTCGTCTCCGTGTGAAGGGCGCGCGTGTGCACTCCTCGCGGGACGTGCTGCTGCCACGAGGCGTTTCCGTCAGCAGCTGCCTCAGCCTTTGCCACCCGAGCGATGGCGATGTTAGGTCGATGGCCTGACATCGAAGAGGCGCGGACCCCGAGATTCGACGCTCCCAAAAAATGAGCAGGCAGGAAGAGGGGGAGGAGGCGGAGGAGGAGGAGGAGGAGAAAAAGGAGGAGGAGAAAAAGGAGGAGGAGCAGCAGGAGGAGGGGCAGCAGGCGTCAGGGAGGAGGCGGAGGAGGGTTGGGGGGGGGGGGGAAGGGGAGGGAGGAGGAGGCGGGGGAGGAGAGGAGGGGAGGAGGAGGAGGATGAGGAGGAGGAGGAGGAGGAGGTGGAGGAGGAGAAAGGAGGAGGAGGAGGAGGAGGAGGAGGAGGGGCGGAGGCGGAGGACAGGGGCCGACGCGCTCCGCTGCGCAGCAGGCACTACCCGCACGCCGTGCCGCTGGTGGGGGGCATGGAGTCCATGGTGCGCCAGATCACCACCAACCCCACCGGCATCCTGGGCACCGTGAGGACCTCGGGAGCCTCGAGACGGGGGTCAATACAAACGGGGGTCAGCCAGGGCACCAGATTCTGCAGGATCCTGCGAAGACCCCCTCTGGCTGACCCGGGTTAGCGAGCCGCGAGGCGGCCGCGCATATTGGCTGACCCGGGTTTGCGAAGACCTGCGTTGCAGTTTTTTTGTCCTGCATTTCAGTTTTTTGGTTTCTTGCTAACCCATGTCTGGATTGACCTGGGTCAGAAGATCCCCGAAGGACCACCAGGTGGGCCGTCCGGGGGAAGGTCCTCCTGATCTGGGGAAACGAACAGTGGCACAGACATAAAAAAACTCGGAGGTCCGCGCGGATTTCTCCGATCGGCGCTGGACACCCCTCCCTGGCGCGCGGAGCGCGCCAGGGGTTGGCGCCGGAGGCGCCGCCAGGGGGGTCCAGCGCGGATCCGAGAAATCCGCGCGGACCTCAGAGCTTTTTATGTTTGTGTCGTTGTTCGTTCCCCTGTAATCGGCGACGCGTGCCACGCCATGGTGCCCTTCTTCGGCCAGGGGTGCAACTGCGGCTTCGAGGACACGCTGTGGCTGAGCAGGTTCCTGGATCAGTTCTGCTGCGAGGGCGGCAGGCTCGTTGGCCCAATCTTTTCCTTTACCCTCCTCCTCCTCCTCCTCCTCCTCCTCCTCCTCCTCCTCTCCCCCTCTCTCCTCCTCTCCTCCTCCTCCTCCTCATCCTCCTCCTCCTCCTCCTCCTCTCCTCCTCCTCCTCCCTCCTCCTCCTCCTCCTCCTCCTCCTCCTCCTCCTCCTCCTCCCTCTGCCCGTTCTTTCTCTGCCCTCTCCCTCCTTCGCCTCCTCCCTCCTCCCTCTCTCCATCCCTCCCTCCTTCCCTCCTCCTCTCCCTCCCTCCTGTCCCCGCGATTCTCGCAGGGTGGCCCCAGGGAAGTGCACACCGGAGAACTTCGAGGCTTGCTTCGCGGCGCTGGAGGAGGAGCGCAAACCGAGCGCGAATGCCATATGCGACATGGCTCTGGAGAACTTCGTCGAGATGCGCGACAAGACGGGGGACGTCAAGTTCCAAGCGATGAAGAAGGTGGAGAACTTGCTCGAAAACAAGTTTTCCAGCAAATTCCGCAGCCGCTATGCCATGGTTTGCTATGGGGGGGAGGGGAATGTGTCCTACGCCAACGCCAAGAAGCTCGGCGAGATTCAGATGGACATGCTCGAGAGCCTCTGCAGCTCCCTCTCGGACCAGTCTCCTGTGCAGGATCAGCCTCGCTTCACGTGTCCTCCTGCCCTTAGCCCCTCCCTTCTCCTCTCCCTCCACTCTCCTCCTGCTCCCTCCTCCTTCCCCTCCTAA